TCAGTCCTCACAGTTTTTGCCTCAGGATCGCGCTCTCGTCTGAGGCGTCCTTCGATTCCGTCTGAGGCGTCCTTCGATTCAGTTCCCCGAGCCAAAAAAGAAGTACCAAAGAAAAACAAGAAGTCATCCAAAAAACTCCACCTCTCAAGAATGCTGTATGAAAGTAAGTGCTCAAGCAGGACAGCGCTCGATGTTGCTCTTGCATTGGCCCCAAGGTTCAGCACCCGCAGAGTTCCGGAACCGCTTCATTGCAGAGCTCGTGGAAAGTGAGAAGATGTCGGTGTTGGTGAACAGCAGCTTTCCTACAAATCCTTATCTCTTTGGTGTTGCCTATATGAGATGTCACCCAGTTCCAGATGCAATCGCACGAGAACGGGCAAGCTGTGTCAAAGGTTATGACTCACATTACTTGAATCAGCACTCGCTCAGGCAACTATGGGCACTACGTTGCCAAGTTCCGTCCTCAATCTCGTTACTGAATGCAGCCCTAGCCCAGCTCACCATCCTGAGGCGTGCGCTGCAGATGGCGACTCCAGAGCAAAGCCGCGCACTCCTTGAGGCCAGAATGCCCAAAGCCGCCTTGTGTTTTGCTCCGAGCCACGCATGAAAACAATTGAAACACGTTTCTTCAAGCTTGCCAGGCAATCAAAGCTAACCTGTCCATATTGACAGGGCCTTGGCTTCCTGCTGTTTTAGTAGATGACTGGCATTGCCTACTTGGCCAAGGCCAAACCGTCGATTGCGAGTGAAATGGGAGAAGGTGATGAGTGGGCAAGGCTGGCTTCACACCCATGTGAACATCATGAATGAAGCACTAAGTCCTTGGTGCGTGTGCTTGCTGCGTGCAAGGGGATTTTGACGATGACCTTCAAGATGCAGTGAGCTGGCCCTAGCTTTACTCTAGTGAAGATGTACGTAACAGCGTGGGCGGGTGCCCGATCGCACCATTGTCTCTTGATGCGTCGACGTTAGTCAAAGATTTGGTGCAGGCAGGCAGAAAATCAGGTCAGGCAAGGCAACACACTGGTTGACCAGAGACTGTGTAGGCACAGGTGGGAACCAGTTTTCCTCACCCTCACAGTGGGGTT